ATATATATATATATATTAACTATTACGGTCTTTTACTTGTATATGAAAGATAAGGAAATTCTTCTTATATTGATTACTGTTTATTTGGAAATTTGTTATACTAACTAGATGTAAGTGGCTTTTTGCCTAATTCTAATTTGCCTTTTGGCAAGTTGCATAAATTTTCCGGTATGTAAGCAAAATCTAATTATTTACTCGCATACTCCTAATATAAAAAAAAATCTGTGCAATTAATTACGAAGAAACGACTCAGACGATTTCTATCAAATAATATTCAGTATGATTTCCAACTGATATTTTCGGATGAATTTCATAATCGGTTCAGGATTTTTGACGAAAATGTAGAAAAAAAGTTTTGTTCATATGCTAATTATAAATGAACTGCTCGGCACCAAATCTAATAAAGGCAAGTCCTTACCGTTTGTCATTTTCAGACTTTGAAATTTTTTAAATGTGCATTGCATTTATGTTTATATGTAATTACGGTAGTGTCTTTAAAAACAACATTTTGATTATTGTGTAGAATATTTTATATCCATTTTTGAAGTCAATTTATATAATTGGTTAAAAAGTTAGTGTGCAAGCGACATTATGCAGATGTCGTTCTGGCATTTAATGTTATAAATGTCGCATATTGTAAAAGATCGTTCTGACTATTTATAATAACCTTATAACTTATATTATGACATAGCTGGCTAGTAGATCATTAACAAAATTCACAATAAATATTAAACTAGCAATAAATAGTATGGGGTATCAAATTTCCAAATTAGTTCTGTATTTGGACAAGGAATATCGATTGATCCTGTAATTAAGTTAAAATTATTCATTATGCCAAATGTTTTCAATTTCCTTGATTTTGTTGAATAAGTTACGTTATTTATTATTTAAAAATACAATTACGTTCTTTGTACAATATATATTTCTGTTCATGGAAACATATTTTTGATCCCCTATTTGTACCCCTAAAAGGCTTTTTATGCACGTATTGCAGAAATGCTGTCACTAGTTAATACACTTTTTATTAACTCAATGTCAATACCAATCGAATGTTTTTTGAATCCTCAAAATCTATTTATCATCCTACACAGTTATGTAGTCATTTAAAGCCAATCATAAAATGTGATGTTATATATAAATTATCTATTCTAATTATTTATCTAAATAAAATTATAATAAATAAACGTGAATAATAAAAAATATTATTGTTTCTATATTTCGTTCATTTTATTCATAAATTCGACGAAAATTTAATTAAAATAAAATTGTGATTATTATTATATATTTAATATTATTTTGTGCAGTTGATAAATGTGGGATAAATATAATTTATCAAAATTTTGCCAACTTTATTTCTGAATGTAAGCTAAATCTTATTGAACAATTTCGAGCCAATGTTGGCTAAATACTGGAAAATGTTAACAAAATATTGGTAACCAATATTTACAATTCATTTCTGCTTTAGATTATTCCTACAAATCTTACAAAATAATTTCAAATTTTATTATGCAGTTATTGAATGTGAGTTTAAATATAATTTATCTATATTTTGACAATTTCAATTCTGAATATAGGCTAAATCTTATTGACCAATATCCAGCCAACCAAAAATGTACTAAAAACTAGGTGTAAATGGCATTTTGCTTTAAGCCAAATTGCATGATTGTTCCGACGTGTATCATGAATAACCAATAAAAAATCAATAAATGAAATTGTGTGTAGGCTAATCGCATTATCCAATATCGAGCCAATGTTGGCTAAATATTGGAAAATGTGAATAAAATACTAGTAACCAACATTTACAATCCATTTCTACTCCAGATTGCTCTTACAAATCTAACAAAAACCTTGCAAATTTCACTTCAAAAATAACTTTGCACCTTTGTAGTTTCCTTAGAAATGACATTTGAATCACGTTTGTAATCCACGTGCGTCTTAACCAATAGCGTGACTGCCTCGAAACGGATCGATAGCGTTTCCGCGTACGCCATTGGCTGCAGAGCACGTGCTTCGGAAAGCTCATTTTGACAGTTGACAGATAGCACGTGTAGTGGGAAAATAAATTATTAACTTCCCGTAGGGTAAGTTATTGTAATGGGCCGAAAATCGGAATTGAAAATTTTTACATTTCTCGACGTTTTGAAGGTTTCTGAACGTTTTGGAATACCTCAGAAAAAATGGATGTGTGTGTGTGTGTGTGTGTGTGTGTGTGTGTATGTATGTATGGATACAAATTTTCGTCCACGTTTTCGGGCGTACGGATCAACCGATTTGAATGGTTCAAAAAACATTCGATTCCTATTAATAAGGAGAAGAGCTGATTAGTTTTTGGCAAAGACAGGTCCAGCAGTTACGGAGATAAGGAGCAAAGAGTGCAGAAAATAGAAATCGAGTTTTTGAGAGAACGGAGCATCCGATTTGAATTATCTAAAAAACATTCCATTAGTAATGATTGGGAGAAAGGGTTATTAGTTTTTCGCAAAGGCAGGCCCAGCCATTTCGGAGATACAGAGCTAAATATACAAAAAATGGCAGTTTTTGAGAGAACTAAGCGTCCGATTCAATTGATTCAAAGAACTTTCTGCTTGTCTTAACAAAATAATTGATTTTGGAAAAAAAAATTTTGTACCTTTTTTTTTTTTTTTTTTTTTTTTTTTTTTTTTTTTTTGATTTTTTGTATATCGAAATAATTCAGATTTTATTTTTAATTCTGACTATAGTTCTAATATACTTTAAACAAATAATTTCAACTCTGCAATTCAGTTTATATAATTCTTATAAATATTAGACAATAATACAATATTTATAATAATCTATTTGAAAACATTCAATATTCCTCGAACGTTTCGTTACGGTACGGGAAGTTCCAGCAATTTGCCTTAAGGCACGATGCCACCCACCCCACTAGTTTTCTTTATTAATTATTTAAATCTTAATTATTGAATAAACGTTTTGTTTCCTATAAAAAATATTTAAATATAAATATTTAGTATCCACTTTATCAAAAGGGTAAAAGTTTGATTCAACTGAATATTGTGTAGGATTGCAGATTGGGTAGTAGATTTGAATATTTTTAAAATAAAAATAATCTAATGTTTTTGTTACATGTTTTTAAATATTGGAAACATAAAATGAAACATATGATATTATAATAGGTTATATTTTTTTAATTTTATTATATTATAATTTAACTTTCTACTTCCTTATTTGTATTTTTTAAACTAATATTATCATTTTTATTTAAAATATATTTTGATTAGACTTCATAGTTTATAAAGTTCTATTTAATAAACAATTATTTGATATTCTGATCATATTTTATTGCTCTGAACCCAATATCGATTATTTATAATTTTGTGTTATACAAATGAATATATTATGTTTTTTTTTTTAGTTTGAAAAAATTATATAACAAACTGAGTCTGTTTTTATTTTACTCTAAAATTTCCGAATAAATTTTAAAAATCCGTATGTTATTAAATATTAAAATTATTATCATTATTGAAAATATATTCTGATTATATTTTACAGTTTATAAAGTTTTATTTACTATACTCCAATCATATTTAATGCTATGAACCTAATTTTCATTATTGATCAATTTATATAATCATTTCTAAACATGTTCAGTTGTCCTGAGCATGATACGTACTTAGTTCATAAACGTTGATTAGAGCTCATTTTTATTTTGGATCTGATATTAGAATTGGAATCTGGCAATTATGCATAAATCTACAATACTTTATTAGTTAAAAGTTTAATTAAACATTTACAACAACACAAAAATAATTTAAAAAATCCCAGACAATATAAAACAATGCTTGCTAATCACATTAATACTGTAAAACACAATATAAACTTTTCTAACAATAATTCTATTTTTATTATTGATTCAATTTGTGTTGAAGAAATGCATGTAATAGGTTAATTAATTTGAGAAAAAGTAATAAATAAAATTATTTTACACTAAAGCTTCTTATCTTTTCCAAGTTATATTAAATAAATTCCAAAATAATTAAATATTAAAATTATCATTATTATTAAAAATGTATTTTGATTAAACCTAACCGTTTATATAGTTCTATTTAGTACACAAATATTTGATTTTCCGATTCTATTCAATACTCTGATCATATTTAATTATCTGAATTTAGTTTTGATTAGTTATAATTTTGCGTTTAATAAATGCATTTATTATGTTTACTAGTTTGAAAAAATACTGATTTGAAATAAAAAAATGAATAAAACACTAAGTACTCAGGTTTTATTTTAGACTAAAACTTCTAATCATTTTCAAGTAAAATTTAAAAAGTGTATTTTGTAAGTGTAAAAGGTGTATTTTGTAAGTGTAAAAGGTGTATTTTGTATTTATTTATAATATTAGGTTTTGAACTTCGTTGAATTACTTTATTATTAAATCTATACCTAACATACTTGAGTTATTAGAAATATTTGTAATTTAAAAAAAATCACATTTTTTCGAAGAGCTCTTCATACTACATATGTATTTTATTAATTTATTCCTAATTTTTTTGTTGAAAGACCCGTATAAATTTTAGAAAATACATAGTTATTTTTTTATTCTGTGTATAAAATATTATGTATTATTACCAATAATAAAATTGAATATCTAAATCCTCATATTGTGTAAAATATTTTGTCTTAATCCAAACGACTACATAATATTTGGACGTGCGGACGAAAGTACTAATACAAGACTGCATTTTATGATATTAAATACAATTGTATTTATGTACCAAGGTCTAGTATATTTAGATGAATTGTGCTAAATACTTGTTCTGTAATGTTTGTACATTATATTATCTTATCCCGGTATATGATGATATGAATGATTTACAGTGCAATGATATGAATATTTACAAGTAAAATTGTGAAATAAACAACTGTACTACTAGGTGATATCATAAAATCCCATTAATAAAATGATATTTAATTGTTTATTAAAGTTAAAATATTTAATAAATTTCTTTTATTTCCAGGTCTCTGCCGAAGCTGAGCTCTGGCGAGGGAGAAGACGGCGCCGGCCCGGGTTGCTACGGGCACGGCGGTGGCGCAGGAGGACATCACTTCGAACCGATTCCACACGATCACGATTTTTGCGAGAGGGTTGTCATAAACGTAAGTTTCAAACAAAAAATCTGTTTATAAGTATCGTAGAATCTCAGTAATCTGGTACTATTAAAAGCCCGAGGATGCCATAACTAGATTATAGTAAAAAATCTTAATTTTTAATATATCGTATATTATTATTGAAAATAGCAAAAAAAAGTGTCCAAAAATTATCAAAAAAATATGCAGAGCTTTGCTTGCGAGGTTCTATTCACTATATATATGGAATCAAATTATGTCAATCAATTACAACTGATCATAAGTAAAATTAAATGGCATGTTTCATCTGGAAGGGAAGTCGTATGGATTGTTCGACATACAATCTAAATCTCTTGTATTGTATGTTACACTTTTATGATGTACTACAAACTAAGTGTAAATGGCATTTTTCCAAGTTGCATGAATGTTCCAACGTGTGTCACAAATAATCAATAAAAATCAATATATAAAATTGAGTGATTTTCAATTGCGGGTTATTCAACTTAGACAAAGTTTTCAACCATGCTAATTATTTAAAAAAATTAATTTAAATATTGCACATTATTTATTGAAAAACGAACATTCGCCTGATACATACACGGACTATTTTCTAAAAGCTCGCCCAATTAGTCCAAACTTTAATTAGTTTATATAACTAAATCCCTTGCCCTAAGCCTCTAATATTTTAGTATGTTCATTAAGACTAGAAGCTCTATGGCTATAGGTTTCATTAAAACTGCCATGGCAAAAGTTAACAATCAAATACCGATCTTTGCCAAAAACAAATCAGCACAATACCTTTCGGTTGTATTTTTTTATGAATTTTATAAAAATATCTAAAATATTTTTCGAAAAGTTTTGCACTTTTCGATTGATTCTAAAAAACGGCTTCTACGATGGTCTCGAAAAATTAATGAATGCCTCAAACGTCTTTCTAATTTTTAAAACCGTGGCAACCGTTTTTGAAAAACTTGAAATACTTTTTTCACATTTGGTCTCAAACGATTCAAAACGACCTAAAATGTCATTTTATCAAAACAAAATCAACATGTCAGATTTTTTAGTAGCTGAATGTGCTGAATGTACAGTTTGCTATGTAAAATCAAACAAAAAAAAAAGAATTCTTCGTGAAACTTTTTCAAAGAAAAGTTAATAATAAAAATTGGAACTATTGTCTAATATGTAGCATATTTAAACAGAAGCTAATACTGGATTTGTATAAACTAATTTTTATAGCAGTTATGAATTTGAAAAAAAATCATCATCAGCAAAAAAAGGAGAAGATATAGTTTTATTTAAAATAAATAAAGTAATTTGTTTTTTAAACTAAAACTAGTAAAAATGTTACTACCTATTTCAAATTATATTATTTTCAGTATTTGTATATATAATAAAATTTATAATTGCTAGTAATTATCAATTCAATTTTAAATTTTGGCTTTGACGGAATAAATTACATAATAATTTGAATTATTAGTTTTATGATTTTATGAATTATTTTATGGCTAAAAATTTTCAATATTTGAAATCGGTACAGAGGGTTTCAAAAGAAAAACTTCGTTTATATATAATAACAGAGTTTCTTATTTTTATATTCTATCCAGAATAGCCAGAGATAAAATAAAATAAGCAAAACATAAAATTAGCGAATGAGATTTGCGAACTGTCTAAAACCATAACTTCCCATGCGGGAAATAAACCTTGCAGATATTTTAAAAACAAATTGCAAATAAAAAAGAAGAACATAAAAATAACAGTATTTTACAATGTTTATTATACTGTGAATAAATCATTTCAAACATAAAGCTCAAAGTTAACGAACCTTTGAATGTTTATTTTAAATCCATCTCGAACTACCGATATTTTAGGATGTGTTGATCGAAGCACATTAAATTCCGAATCTAAATTTATATAGTTCTGTTAATGATTTATTGTAATCGGTTTTTGCGAAAAATAAGCTCCAAGGATTATGGAAATTTTATGAAAAATAGCATCGATCGTACAAACAAGTACAGGACAAAATCATTAATCTGAAGATCGATTCCCACCGACAAATAATATTTATATCAGTACCTTGAATTAGAAAAATTTGGTTCTATGATATAATTATATAACAATTACGCCCTCAGATAAAATCACTAATATTAGTTACGATCCAACACAATTAGTGAACTATTATATTAACAAATTTTTCTTTGCCTTTTCACATCGCAGTTCTCAAATAGACCATTGAAAATTTGGTAACACTTCTTTAGATCATGACCTGTATCCAGTAATAACCAAATAACTATTTATTTTTAATTAATAGTAAGTAGGAAGATATTTAGCCTTGCAACCACAAGGTTTTAGGTTTAATTTCATTCCAAATAAAAATAGCATTACCACAATACAGCCAAAATTTGAAGTATATATAAAAACATATAATCATAATTAGACTGGACTACAATTAGATTTCCTTTAAATGACCATAAGTAGAAACTATTAATTGCGTAAAATGAAAATTATATAAAAATGAAATTTATACTACAGTAAAAAAGTAAGAGTAATGAGAACTCATATAAACTTTCTTAGAAACCGTAATCAACGCCAAAAGAGCAATTTCATCATAAAGACATTCTTGTCTCCTTTATCTTTGCCTTAAAAGTAAAATTTAATCCGTATAATAAAGTGAAAGAGAGCATTGGTCTTGCAACCACAAGGTTTCCATTTCAAAACGCTTGCTATGTACCACCTGATATCAAGCAGTAGTGATATCAATTTGAATATATAAACACAAATACGTTTGAAAGTGAAAATAAATAGCTCTTGAGTAATTTCTACAATAATGTACAAGTATGTGAAGTAGAAATTTCATTATGAACAAAAAGAAACTAATATATATCTAATGATAAAGCATCTTGTACAAAGTCATTATTAAACCAATTTGGACATACAGCATGCAACTATGGGAATCATAATCCAAATCAGAAAGCCTTAGAAATATAATGATGTCAAAATGATTTTAAACAAATGTCCTAAAGTATGTTCTAAATTGATTGATCCATTTAGTCATAATTATACATTGGGACAAGTACAAAAACTGCTTCAAAGATCCACCAAATTCTTTGCTAAGAACTCTGTCGCAATACCACCAGGGCTAGATTGAGAAGAAAGCTCATTTTATATTAATCTCTGTTCATCTCAATATCACATATTGGTCGAAGATTTTGTAATTTGGGCGCTTTTCTTAGCCTTGAAACAGTACTTTGTATCGTATTGGAATAGTGTGACAATTATTGTAGTATATTAATACAAAAATATAATATAGAAGTTCGATCCAATTTCCAATAAAAAATTCAATTTCATAAATAAAAGCTGAGTAATAGAAAAGCTCTTTTCACTATGTTGAGCAGCAATTAGAACTTAGAATTTATTATTACATATTTAATTACCTCCACTATAGGCTGTTGTGCTAATTTGACTCTATTCTAGTCGATTGCAACTCAAACAGTTGTCCCATCTCTGACTCTGTGAGTGATAAATTATTATTACTATTCCTGTAATAAGACGAATTTTTATTGATGCATCAATGCCTATCAACATATTGCTATTTATATTTCCAAGTGATAACCGATGTCACTATTGCTTGACAATAAGGCTGCTCATAGCCAATTTTCGAGTGGCAGCTTAAGTTCAAATATTGGTGCCAAAATATAATTCAGTTCTTAACTTTACAACAAAATTACTTTCCGAACATCCAAATAGATCTTAATTCCCTGATAGTTTCTTCTCGCCAAGGTCGTCAAATATAAAATTGAATAGAGATAGGCCCAATGATGTCAGTTTGGGCATCAATCACCGAGTGGCATCTTAAGATCCAATATTGGTGCAAAAACATAATTCACTTCTTTACTTTACAACAAAATTACTTTCCGAACATCCAAATAGATCTTAATTCCCTGATAGTTCCTTTTCGCCAAGGTCGTCAGATATAAAGACAAACAAGGATAGGCCTAATAATGTCAATTTGGACATCAACTTTCAAGTGGCAGCTTAAGTTCAAATATTGGTGCATAATTAAAATTCAGTTCTTGACTATACAACAAAATTACTTTCTGAACATCCAAATAGATTTTAATCCCGATTGTTCCTTCTGCACAAGGTCGTCAGATAAAATGATAAATAGAGAGGACTAATGATGTCAGTTTGGGTATCAATTTTAGAGTGGCAGCTCAAGTTCAAATATTGGTGCAAAAATATAATGCACGTCTTTATTTTACAACAGAATCACTTTCCGAACATCCAAATAGATCTTAATTCCCTGATAGTTCCTGCTCGCCAAGGTCGTCAGATATAAGGACAAATAGAGATAGGCCTAATGATATCAATTTGGATATAAATTTTCGAGTGGCAGCTTAATTTCAAATATCGGTGCAAAAATATAATTCAGTTCTTTACTTTGCAACAAAATCACTTTCCGAACATCCAAATAGATCTTAATTCCCTGATAGTTCCTTCCCTCCAAGGTCGTCAGATATAAGGATAAATAGAGATAGGCCTAATGATGTCAGTTTGGGTATATTATGGGAACAGTTTACACTTTTTTCCTTCCTTATCAGAAATCTCGGTCAATTAATTTGGCAAAATCGGACAGTGCGTTATCGCACACCATTGCCGGCAGTTTGTCTTGAGACAACGCAACCTTGGCACGCGATTCCTTCGCCTTTCGTTCCGCAGATACGATACGATACACCTGGGCAATTTTTCATTGCTACGCCATATAAATCAATATGCCGCAATATTTAAAAGGCTAAGGAAAATGTATAATGGAATCAGGAATATAATGCATTGATTGGATGATTGGATGATTGGATCGATTGCGAATTAGTAATGCTACATTGATCTCGATGAACCCTTGACTGTGGCATATGTGTACAACTCCATTCGATTAAAATAAATACATGTAGTTCAAGCAAAAATACTAAAAATTTGATGATTATACTTTATTGTTTTTTATCTTTTCATGGGGTAAATGATTGTAATCATCCAAAAATTGAAAATAAAAACTTTTGCATATGTTTACGTTTCAGAGTTTTTTGAAATACCTTAGAAAAAATGGATGTGTGTGTAGTGTGTATGTATGTATAGATACAATTTTTTTTGGAAGCACGGATGAACCGATTTGAAATATTCAAAGAACATTCGCTAACTATTTATAAAGAGACATTCTGATAAGTTTTTGGCAAAAGTCGGTCCCAGCCGTTCCGGAGATATGAAGTAAAGAGTGCAGAAAATGGAAATTAAGTTTTTGCGAGAACAGAGCATCTGATTTGAATGATTCAAAAACATACCATTAGTAATGATCAAAACTCGTGGTGAATAGATTTTGGCAAATAAAGCCTCAACCGTTTCAGAGATAATGTGCTAAAAGAGTAAAAAATTGCACTTTTTTGGGAGAACTAGGCATCCGATTTGATTGATTCAAGTAACATTTTGCTTGTGAAAAGACGATTAGTTTAGGAAGGCAACGTGTTTTTACATAATAAAACACTTTTATTTAATTTCCATTTTATTATAAAAAATGATTTGGATTTTAATTGAATTTTAACTTTACAATTTAGTTTATATAATTTTTAGAAATATAAGATAATATTCTTCAATCTAACTTTGCTTAATAAGTTTTGCTGCTTATTTACTTTTTTGTCGTCCTCGAATAAACTCGTCGTCCAATTTATAAGCTCTTATATTTTGTCTATTAAATATGAATAATGAATGTTGCAGTATTTATAATAATCTATTCGAAACCATTTAGTTCTCGAAAATTTTAAATCATTCAAATCGGTTGCTTCGTTTTTTGCGCTTATTGCTCTGTATCTCTGAAACAGCTGGACCTCTCCCTGCGAAAACAAAATCAGCATGTCTATCCATGAATAGGAATCAAATGTATTTTGAACAATTCATATCGGTTCATCCGTGTTCCTACTTTTCGATTTTACCTATCCATTTTTTCTAAGGTATACCAAAATGTTCTAAAGATCCTAAATTTTGAGATTTTAAAATTTTTGAAAATTTTTGCGTTTTAAGGCTTAAAACATAAAGATGCAAAAAAATTTCATTTTCATATTTTTATTATAAAATATACTACGGGAAGTTAAAAAGTCTATAAATTTATAGATTAATGTATAATTTTTAAAAATATTGGACAAAATATAAAAATTTACATACTTTCAATGTGATATTTTAAAATTTATAAATAAACTTGAGCAAAATGAATACTAAAACTGGTCGTAAATTTTAAGTAAACACTACATCAAATATATCAATAGAAAAAGATCTTAATTTACTGATAATTCTAGGCTCGAGGTCGGCAGATATAATTATAAAGAGATAGACCTGATGATATTACATATATACATATATTGATCGGTATATATATATATATATATATATATATATATATGTATGACAGGCAAGTGCATCAGCAGAGTTAGACTCGAACTCAGTTTGGGGAATAATAGTGTAATAGGTTTTGCATTGCCATTTCACACTGTAGTGCTCGATAGGGGCTTGTTTTCATTTGGAAACATAGATTTGATCTATATTTTCAAGTGAAAATTGATATCACTACTGCACGATGTCAGATTGTCAAGAGCGGGGTTCAAACTCACGACCTCACCCCTCACTGTCTCTCGCTATATATATATGGTCTTTAATATGAATATTTTGGAATTTTTTTGCTTCTATTGAAAGTATCCATAATAGGTACCACCCTAAATATATCAGGGTCAAAGTGTAGAGTGTCAAAAAAAAATCGCAGGTGCACATTGCGATTTTAGTTCTATGGGTCATTTTCGGAAACTCAATTGACTGCGAAAAAAATATTTTAGCCATCAAAAAAAATTATGACTATCAAATCGAAGATATTTTGTCTCTTAGAAGCTTTAACAAAATCAAAAAAAATTCTTCTATCAAAAACTAATAAAGAATCTTTTATTATCTTTGCAGGTCTCCGGTCTGAGGTTCGAAACGCAACTGCGGACCCTAAACCAGTTTCCGGACACCTTGCTTGGGGATCCGGCCCGAAGACTGAGGTACTTTGACCCTTTGCGAAACGAGTACTTCTTCGATCGGAATCGGCCTTCGTTCGATGCCATCCTCTATTATTATCAGAGCGGTGGCAGGCTGAGAAGGCCGGTCAACGTGCCCTTAGATGTTTTTAGTGAAGAAATCAAATTCTACGAACTTGGGGAGCAGGCCACCAATAAATTCAGGTGAGGGAAAAATTACATAATATAAATTAACCACTTCGGTATGTGCGCTTATAGGTCGCAAAACGTAGCTCACAGCCGGCATGCAACGTTTGTACGCTTATTACGGTCATTCACTAAAAGTGACGCCCGGCTGAATGTGACATTTTGCAGCCGTCAATTATACTTGACGCTGGCACCGAAGTGGTTAATAGGGTATAAAAAGCTCTTTGCTTTAATAAATGGTAACCAGCCATACGATTGTTAGAGATTTGGGATTATAATCAGCGATCCCAGGTTCGACACTTGCCTTGGGCAGTCGATGCCAGATAGTCGTTGATTTTACTAGAAAATACATTTTTTTATTTATTTCTTAAAACCAATCTGAACCTTTGCTTCAATGGGATTATTTGCGATTGGGTACATGGCGTTTAGAAATTCTCCCAGTAAGAAAGTGCCTTACATAAATATATTTCTTGTCAATTTATTAGATCTTGCGACCACTTTCTGCTCAGTCTTCTGATCGGAACTTTACTAGAAAATATAGATAGCAATTTGTAAGTAAAAGTGTTCCTTACCTGGCATTGGTAAATAAGTCATCAATATTACATAAATTTTACAATAAAAATTCACACATAGAAGCAACTGTTTCATCGGTGCCATCTATATAATTGACGTAGTTATATGAGCCAACATTTTCCACAATAATTTATTAAATTTTTAAGTTTTGATAATTATTGGAATAATACAAAAAAAATCTATACAATTAACTAACAATATGTTTGCAATTAAATGAAGACACTAATAAGAACTCTCCGTAACATTTTTGTATATAAAAAAGTGCACTTTTTTAATATTGTGTGAACAGCAAATTAGAACTTAAGAATTCTATAGTATGTTGTTCTGATTTAACTTATTACTACTATTTTAAATTATTAATAATAACTACCTTATTTAATCAATGCGAAATACAAAATCCATGGGAACATTTTTTACAAAAGATCATGTAGTGAGAGAGTAGGGTGGGGCACAAAGTTCTAATTTGACTTTGAAAACTTATATTGTAAAAACCAAAACAGATTATATCATAACAAATAACACATATTAAACAAACAACTATCTGACTATGTTCAGTAAAAATCCCAGCTTATTCATCATTCTAAAAACGTGTTTTTTTGCCGTTTTACAAAAAAAAGTGTAACTTGGTTCTTTTTACTCCATACGCGGGGTAAATTGGGTCGGCCGGGGGTAAACAGGTCCAATGTTCTAATAGTAATTTTAAAAGAATTTTATAAAATAATAGGTACATTATTTAACCAATGCAAAATATAAACTTCATGGATACATTTTTACAGAGTTAACACTGTACATAACTTTGATCTGGTATTTCGTCAGAAATATTCATCAACAGAGTGGAAATAAGTATTTATTTAATTTTTTTCTAAAAATTACTTATTTTAACTTAATTTACATCTACATTTGCTACTTTATTATTACGTTTTATTATTTTATTTACAATACTTTACCAGGATAAATGTTTAGTTGGTCCTTCTTACACCGCCTACATGTGAAATTTTAAACAGGTTATATGAAAAAATGTTGAATTTACCTTTAAAATTACAATATATGTTATAAAACAATTAAATAACGTATACTTAAAAATTATATTCAGTTATCATGAACTAAATAAAAGAGCTCAAAATAAAAAAGAGTGCGCGTAAGGTTCACACGCAATTGAAGTAAAACTTTTTTGTTATCACAGGATGGCATTTCAATTGTAAATGAATACATTATATAACAATTTCAATGTTTATTAGTAATATGGTAACACTTATGATGCACACATTTATTAGTGTCAGCCATTATACACATTTATATAATGATAGATTATAAATTATATATTTATAATAGCATAACGACTAATCACAATCGACCCGTATAAAAATAATATAATCGAAAGCGAGTGATTATTGGCACTCGACTCGGCCGTAACGCGCTTCTGTTGCATTCGTACGGATTTTAATTTAGTCGCGCCTAAAGAAGTTTTACTTCAAAACTACCATGAAAATTCATGATAGTTATCTCCTGATAGCGACATCGTAGGAATTAAGGTGATGGCTGGTTACACATCTTTTGCTCTCTACTTTAAAATAGTATAAACAATTCTGTACTTCAATTGATTTTGTGATATTGGTGGTAGATCTTTTCTCCCACGGACCTTTAAGCTCCGCCATACCTCCGCCTCGAGAAATTTTTATAGAACAAATTATTGTTTGGAAATTACTAAATTTTTTCTTTCTCTTTCAGGGAAGACGAGGGCTTCATCAAAGAGGAAGAAAAGCCACTGCCCTCGAACGAGAACCAGCGCAAGGTGTGGCTCCTGTTCGAATATCCCGAAAGTTCTCAGGCCGCACGCGTAGTCGCAATTATATCCGTGTTCGTCATTTTACTTTCCATAGTTATATTCTGCTTAGAAACATTACCAGAGTTCAAACACTACAAAGTCTTCAACACGACCACGAACGGCACCAAGATCGAGGAGGACGAAGTTCCAGACATCACCGATCCGTTCTTCCTCATAGAAACTATTTGTATAGTGTGGTTCACGTTCGAGTTATCAGTGAGATTCCTAGCGTGTCCAAATAAACTGAACTTTTTCCGGGATGTAATGAATATAATAGATATAATAGCCATTATTCCTTATTTCATCACTTTGGCAACCGTTGTTGCCGAAGAGGAAGACACTTTGAATCTGCCAAAAGCGCCGGTCAGTCCGCAGGACAAATCGACGAATCAGGCGATGTCCTTGGCGATCCTGAGGGTGATTAGGTTGGTAAGGGTTTTTAGGATTTTCAAGTTATCAAGGCATTCCAAAGGGTTGCAGATATTAGGGAGGACCCTGAAGGCTTCGATGAGAGAGCTGGGGTTGCTCATTTTCTTCCTGTTCATAGGTGAGATACATGGATTTTATTATAATATTAAGAATGGATATGGGTGGATGAAAGTAAAGATTGTCTACATTCATTTTTGTCTATTATAGTAAATTTAATTTAAATTAAATGCGAATGTAGATTCAATTATTGATAAACTACTCTATATTGTTCAAATATTTTTTTCAAATTCTAGAACAGAGTTCAAGAAAATAATTTGGAATGCAAGGTTCATTCTAGCAAAAAACAGCTTAATTGCTATCAAATTTGTTATAAATCATTATTGATATTTTTTATCTTTTTACCTAATCAATAAATATTATGCTGAAAGTCACGGACCTTGCAATAATAATCCATGAAATAATTTGATTTTAGAAAGATTTTTCTAATTCTTTTCTTAGACCATTACTTTTACGTAGGCTATTGACTCTTATAAAGAAAATCGTAAGACAAGAAAAATTTTAAATGTAGTAGTAAAGCACAAAAAATCCAGAGCTTCCACTATTGTTTTTTTTTTACGAATGTAAATTTTAGTGAGACAGAAAATATCCTATATTTCGGAAGAAGGCTGCCAAAATTTTCCTTTTAAAATCTATTTTTTTACAAGCGTGCATTAATCATAACCTGGCAAAACATTGAATATAGACAGATCTATACTTATTGATCAAAAAAGTATTACTGAACGAATGAATATATCTGTATATGTTTATGTTCAAATTTGATGCTACTTTTATAAATTCTGCAATAGAAATTAATTGCAACATTTTTTGCAGATAATTCCTTAACCTTATATAAACATTTTTAAATATACGATTAGAAGAAAGACACTATATTATGCTAACTGAATGATATAATTAGATGCATTTTTTCATACATTTATTAAATGATCATCATAACAAGTTTTACTAGAAGTTATTTAGAAATAGAAAAGGAACGTGACAAACCCTTGAAAAGAGAATTTACCGGTTGGAGATATAAAAATGAATGAATTTTTGGTGATCTAAGCAAACGATGTTTTCAAGCGATATTTTTGGGCAAAATTATTTTTGAAAACAATTATTTTGTGCATAAAATTGTCGTAGATTGTAACTGATACTTTTCGAGTGAATTTAGAATTTCTGTAATCGGTTCAGAAATATTTTCAAGAAAACTACCAATTATAACTTTATTATAGGTACTAAGAAACTACTCGGACGATCACGATAAACTTTAACTCTAACTTTTTTTTATTTTCCCAATAGCCATTAAATGTAATAACATGTAAGAATTGTAGCAATTATATTACTTGGATCATTGTAATTTTTATAGCTCACTTTAACAAAACTAACTTATATTTTTTTAACTAACTGCATTCAACTTTTAAAAAACTAAAAAATCATTATGGTGCAAAGTTAAGGTTCAACATAAATTTACTTATTTGAAAATGTTGTTTGCTAGATTTTTCCGTAAACTTTTTGGTATTAAAGTAAAAGTACGAGTAGGTTGAGGAAAAAAACAGACTATTACTTATTTATAAATATATTGCTCTAAATTATTTTACCAATTAATTGGAGACCAAAGTAAAAAGTTTCTATAAATGGTTTGTTATGTTTCCAGTTCTAAATAGATGAAAAAGTTCATAAAAATAATTTATTAGATGCAGGGTTTAAAAACCTTTAGTATTTTTAACATTAAACACGCTAGAGATTCCAAGAAATCTAGACTAGTTTTAAAAGCGAAGACATCTAGTTAATTCTATCATTTAGCATGAAATAGCTGTAAAACACGAAAACACAGATATTATAATAATTCATTTTGATCACAATTATTTTTATTTCTATAAATATTTATTTGGTTCGACTTTCAGAAAATTTGAAATGCAGTGCAAGTATTAAAGAAGATATAAAAATGTGTTTCATATTTTCTGAATTAAAACTTAATTTGAATAAAATTGTTTATTTTCAGGCAAATGTTTGATGATATTAATATAGAATACAGTGTGCATTTAAATTTGTTTTCAGAAGTCTAGCAGTAACAAATTCCTTAAAATATCTTTCTTTTAAATTATTTAAATATATTACTAACAATTATAATCATGTATTTGAATATCTAATGAAACTTAAATCATATTCAAAATTATTAATGATTTATTAAAAAAAAAATAATTTGGAAAAAAATTAAATAATTGAAAAAGTATCATTTTATACAAAGAAAAGTATTTTTTTTAAGTAAAACATGTGGAATTTCCGAACAAAAGGTCATTTTAGAATGAAGCAGCAAAAATATGATTTTTTTCAAAATAACCCTTAAATGTGAGAAATAAAACTAAAAAAAAATAAATTAAATTAATAAATTTTAAATTTTAACTATGAGATGAATTCGTAAAAATTGGTCCAGTAAAATATTCGGTCAAAAAAAAAATAATTTTTTACTTTAATAAACCGACTCTAAAATATTATTTTAATTCATCATTTTTTATATAAAAATTTATGGCTTACGTTGAAAAATATTTTTCAAAATATTAGCAGCCAAATCTTCCAAAATTAAAAGCATTAAAAAATAAAATATTTATTTTGTACGTTTTGACACAAAATATGAGCTATGTAAAGAAGCAATTTGTAAATTATGAAAAAAATTTAAATACAAAATAAAAAATTAGAAAATAGCTTAAAGGGGTGTGGCTTAAAAGTTCAAGTTCTACGTCGCGTACAACTTGATGCCAAGCAGTTCTTATATTTATTTTCATTGAAAATTAGGATTATAATTATATTTTAAAGCAAAATTAGTCCTTTCATACCTTTCATACCTTACTGCAAAAAGTTTCCATTTTCCTCACAATAATATAAGGATAACTACTGGGTCGCTCTCTAATATATAAATGTAATAATACCAGAATGAAGCATTTGGTTGTCTTTTAAAATTAATTAGAAAACAAATAGTCATCACAAAAACGACATATACAAAATGCCAAATTCGGGTTGCTGTTTAAAAAAATTAGAAAAAAAAAATAAAAACTGACATATACAGAGTGTCCCAGAACTCTCGCTTTAATGTATGAGAGAAAAACATGTGAGCAAAATGCCTTAGCAGTTACCGTGTTATCTTTGGGTTTTTATGTTTTTAAAACAAAATTAAACTTGAAAAATTCGAAAGTTAAGAATAATACTATCACCCCGTTTCGGCTTGATGTTAAGTCCTGGGACACCCTGTATATTATAGATTAGTCATGTTGCGATGCAAAATTCTGATAAATTAAAAATAATCAAATTTCAATTTTGATTTGATACGAATTTACTTCCTTATTTGTATGGGTTGAAGAGATATTAATTATTGGTTCTTTTCTTTATTGTAAAAGAATTTATATGTTTAAATTATAACTTACATAAATGAGTATTGATATTTAAGTATGTACTTGTTGGCGGTTCAATCCTAACTGATTCTCTCTTATTGTACGAATAAAGGTCGATTTATAAAAGTTATATTATATAAATGCTAAATTTAGTACTAACTTACAAACTTAAAATTACAATCTTATCTTAATAAAAATCTGATAACATAAAATATTTTGATAAATACATAATAATTTTCAACCATATATTATTTATTATTATTAGTATTTTCATAAATTGGTAATGACACGTTTAAACCGAAACGTACAAAATAAATAACTTAATTGAGAAACTGGCTGCTATCGTTTTTAGGAATATATAAAAAATATTCAGAACATCAAAATATAATTTATAATTATTCTAAATATCAATATTTAAAATAGTCTATCCATCACAATTTCTTTTATAAAAACTCTACATCTCATACAAATATATAAATCTTCGATTATGTAAGAAATTTTTCGATTATCTCCGAAACAACTAACTAACACTTCTATATTTTTTCTTTGCCTAAAAAGGCGTAGTACTATTCAGTAGCGCCGTTTACTTCGCCGAGGCCGGTTCTGAAAATTCATTTTTCAAAAGTATTCCGGACGCCTTTTGGTGGGCTGTGGTCACAATGACGACCGTTGGATATGGAGACATGAGGTACACACCGAAAATAGTCGGATCAACACGAACCTTACCCCCCAAAAAAATATATTTATTAAGACCTTAAGGCTGTGTTGTGTGTTGTACCCGATTTTTGGAACCTGATATATTTTTCTAGAATTATGTATATTTTTGTTGTGACAATTCTGTGATTCCTGATATTGTGCCTTTTTGCGTGGATATATTTATGTGTTGTGAAAATGAAGAGGAAACTAGCATATATTTTGTAATATTAGTCATAAGCAAGTTTTATTTAATATTAGGTAATTTATTCGTGTAATATATTTTTTATATGAATATTTAAAAAAAAACTTTTTTTTGCACTATAAATATTTATTTACGGTGACCGCGTTATTCTTTATAATAAGAATCATAATGATCAAAGAATTCAGCATACAAAAAAATCTTAAAACAAATGATTTATCTTACATTTTACAAAACTGAAAACAAATAATGAAACTAATACAGAATTAAGAAATGCCTTTGATGTGAGTTATAAGGGTTAACAATGACCTACTGAACCAAAGGGTTCGCATGACCCGTAAAACCAAGAAAAACTAATCATTCACAACGTTTTGTTCAAATGTTGATTTTAAGACGAAACAAACTAATCCCCTTTTTGTAAATCTTAATTATAATAAAATAAATTACAAAAATTGAACAATATTTACAAAATCAATAACTACCTCAAAGTCTATGAAAAATGTATGAGAGTCAACATGACCCATTAAACCGAAAAAAAAGTTAATCATGCGAAATCCGACTCTTCGGTGCGAATGATTTTATCACATAAATGATGATTTAGTTCAAAATTTTAGCAAACATGAAATTATGCTAAACGCAAAAAATATGCTAGTTTTTTACAATACATGTTGTAAAATAAAGAGATTTGAAACAAATCATTATTTGATCAGTTTTGCATTTTCAAGCTAAAAGTTTCCAAAATCTTTCAAATCTTTTTTTTAAATGTATGTAAAATTGTTGTGGAGTTAATTTGATGTTTCTATTCTCAAATCAAAAACCAAATCCCAAAAATCAATCCCAATTATGAAACCAATGAAAAACGGACACTTTTACAATTTTAATAACGAATATTTATTCACAGGATTAAATAACAAATTTTGAATTCTTTCAGTTTCCCAATATCAGATTTATTAATATTTTTATATTTCAGAGAATGTAATAAAGAACAACATATGAGAAAAACAAAGGACTTGATTTTGATAATATTTGATGTGTTGTGAAAAAATATGAAATTTAATTTTACATTATAGATATTAAGAGAAAATGTGTATGCAGTGCGGATTTAATATGTTTTTGCTAGATATATATGAAGGTTCAAAATATATTTGGTATGTCGAAAAGAATTTTATAATTGAAAATTAATTTCACACTGAACAAATGGAAGCGAAAAAACAAATTTTATATGAAACGCACATTTTTATTAGTTTCTTTATTAAAAATATAAATATAAAATAACCAGAATTGAAAAGGTCAAGGTAAAAATTAGTTATGAGAATTTCGATTTAAAGTAAAATTTATTTGGTATTAAAATTGTGAATTTTAATTTGTTGTATGAAGATAGTCCACATAATCTACTGTGTGTTTTTAAGTGAAAAAATTCAAAAATCTCATTTTAATAACTAAAATGAATATTATTAATTTTATAGCTTGATTATAAACTATTATCAACTCAAAATCAAAAGATATTAATTCTTTTTTGTAGGATTTTTTTCAATTAATACCAAAAATTTTTTTTTAGTTTCTCGATATATATGTTGACAGAATATATCTATGGTGATTTTAAAATATAAAACGCCTTGTAAATATTTTTTGAAAAAACAATTGGCTGAACAATACTGTTGAAGATTAAAAATGAAAAAATAGTAATGTAAGGAAGTTAAATGTCCAATTGTAATTTATCCTTTAAGATTTCACATTGCCTTTCACGCCGCAATGCCCAAATAAGTTAGTTTTAATTGAAAATTTATATTCGACCTATTTGTTTTTTTTAAGTAAAATGCTATTCAACTTAGTGAAAACAATTTTTAATTGAAATTATTACGGCTGACAATTGTTAATCAAAAAATTTGTTAAATGTCTTTAAGGCAGTTGTAAAGATAGTAGTAAATAAAATAAAAAAATGAAGCTATACCAAACGTATTTTGAGCCTTCCACATGTAACATATAAGCATAATATTATAATTATTATATATTATATTAATCCTAATATTTAACCCCATGCACCCCCCAAAGGTGTGGTATTGTTCAGTAGCGCCGTGTACTTCGCCGAAGCCGGTTCAGAAAATTCATTTTTCAAAAGCATTCCGGACGCCTTTTGGTGGGCTGTGGTCACAATGACGACCGTTGGATATGGTGATATGACGTACGGAACTCAGATTTGGAAAATTGATATTATTTTTGTTCGATTTAGTTTGAGTTTTATACGAGCTGAAAGGTTTATTAGCAAATTTTGTCACGATTGGACGCTTTTGGCATAATAAAAAAAATTCTTCGAAAATCCAACCCATTAGGGTTGAGATTAAAAAGAAAGTGCTTGGTTTTGAAGAACTGTAAATAATTGTGACTTGCTACATATATAATAAGGTTCTATATCCAAAAACATACGATTTTTGACTCTGCTTAATTTTTACTATACAATCAAGTATACACCTTTCTTACCTGTGAATACGAGCGTAAAAAGTAGTAGCATCTCGTACAAGCCCAATGCATGCAAAAGTAGTAGCATCGCGTACAAGCTACCGAGAAATATTGATATAGAATACTATCCTTCCCGCCAATTAGGTAAAATCAAAAAAATGATAATCGAGAAATTGCTCATCAAAGTTTTTGTTCTGCTCATATACCTGCTCGACACTAGCTCACTATTTTTTAGATGTAACCTTGGACCATAGACTCAGCTTCACAAAACATATCAATATGGAAATCGGACAAGCTTACGGAATGATGAATTTACTGAGACCTTTTTTAGCCATAACAGCCCGCTGAGCGTGAAGAACAAGCGGACAACTATACTTAACAATAAAATGACCGCAACATGGAACGCGACAAAAAAGACTAACCGACGATGACTACAGACAGCACAAAACAAAGCTTTACAACTAGTTCTCAATAAATCAAGAAGAACCCACTGACGAGACACTATTACCTTACAAAATGTATATATGAACAGACCAACGTACCGAGAGCACTCGACCAAATTAAAAAACTCACTGGAAACTTTTACTTGAAATGTAAGAATCACTCAAATAACAACATCCAAGTCCTAGACCAATATACACCAGAAATGGTTTGGTAGGGCAAACACGCCATGCCAAACTATTGCCTGATCGATTCCTAGCAGCAAATAATACTTGGCTCATTACTCTGATTTTTGCGAATAACCCCCTCGAATTTACCCCTCGAATCTTTTTGGGTTTGTCTTTGGGCGAAATTTTTCTTTCCTTTTTTTTGTCACAATTATGACACTTATTTCTGTATTCAAAACCAGATAAGATGGATACTATACCACTAGTAAATATCCAAACAAAGAGAAAAATGTTATGCACACATATATATTTATTGAAATATATGTTTTTGAAATTGAAAACGAACTATTTCTTCCGTAACTCCGTAAATAATGTGAGTTTGTTTCTAAAATTTTAAGGGTATATTCTTGGTTAGTTTAGAAACACATTTTTGCAAAAAAAACGGTAGTTTAAAGCTCTAAAGCAGGCGCCCCCCTTAAGTAAAAGTTTCAAATTAATAAAAAAGGAAGAATTTCAAATGAATATCAGAGGAATTATATGAAAAGTATTTCGTTTAAAGTTTAAAGTGTATTGTGAAACATATCATATCCACTGACAATTTATTACAAATTAGTTAAATAATTTAAACAGTACCATGACTAACTTTAAGGATATAGTCATTTTTTTATTCATTTCGGTCCATGAACTGATATTGCGTGCATTTGAGGTTATTTATATAAATTAATAGAAAGTTAAAAGTCAAATTTTAATTTAAACTTTTAATTTTAATTTTAATTTTTTTGAACGAGGGTATAGGTACGAAAAGATTAGAATAATTTGTATTAAAGCATTTTGACAGTTTTATACGAAAATCACAGCGTAACATAGTCTTTTTTACAGCAGAATCGGCCCATTAATTTAAAGAGCAGATGTGCAATTTTATACTTCATTGTTAGAAATGTCATTATAATGTTATTATATTATATTCAAAAATAAAAATATATCCAAATATCTATTTTGAATAACAAAAATTTGTCTTGAAAAATATTTAGTCCAAAGTACTGATTTTATCCAGCTACAAATAATGCCAAAAGCGTTCTTTCAATAAACTCATTAACAATATTTATCAAATATAACAAATATAATATTTTTTGAACAAATATATTGATGATGAGTTTTTTAATAAAATTTAATGCATTTAAAAATTTTGGTTTTCGTTTGTTTGTATTTAGTTTGGCGATTGGAACACACTAACAACGCATATATTTCAGTATTTATTTAGTAATAATTTTTGTGTAAATTTTACTAAAAACAAAGTGTGGATATTTTTGGAAAGAAATTTACAGAATGGGACATAAAATCATCATCATCATTCTGTAAGTTCCAAACCAAAAGTTCAAGTTCAAGTACAGGGTTAACATCGCTTTTAGTAATTGATAAAAATATTTTCGAATAGTTAGTCAGCAATTTATTTTAAAAATTTAATAATAATACATTAAATTTTTGAATAATTAATTAAATTTTGAAGTACTGCCATTATTATCTAAAAATATTCTAAATTTCAAATAAATTGCTGATTTATTTTCAAGTACATTGTCAATAGAAATTTTATCAATAATAACATTATTTTTTGTTAATTTTAAAATAAATGTGATGCAGACAAAATTGGGTGGATTTATAGATAGTTTTAAAATATTTTATTTAAACTTGGAAAACTTAAAAATTTTAGAATATTAAAAATTCTATTGACAATTTCTATACATGCATCATTAATTTGTACGTTCTCTCTGTTCATTTAATAACCACCACGTTCTCCAAAATATTTTTTTATAACTATTTTCTAGATTTTTTTAATATTTCATATTTTATTAGATGACCAGAGAATGTATTAATTTTTTCATTTATTTCGGCTTAAGTTTTGTTTTGTTTTAACATTGCTAACCCATCTATTTAACGCTTGCACGGTTAGATTTTTCATAATTCAAAACACCACCAAATTAGTTAAAATATTTATATTAGAAATTTTACTTAGAAGCTTAAATAGAAATTTTAATGATTTTTTATATAAAATTACAGATGCACGAAATTTTTACATATGTATTTTAATGGAAATATTATCTTGTTATATCTCTATATAACAAAATGATTTTAAATGAATAATTTGTATAAACGTTGCTCTTGTATGCACAATTAATTTTTTTTACAAACAACGAGTGGTATTAGACTTTAAGGAAAAAATAATAATTATTATAATAAATATCCACAAATAATTTGGTTACTAAACAAATGATAAATCTAATTGAAAAGTTGGATTAAAGTTCTCGGAAATTTAAAAATAAATACTCTTACAATAAATTTCAATTGTGGTATACATATTTTAATTTTTTTTTAAATTAATCTATATGAATTTTGAAAATTTAAGTGTCCTTGAAATTTAGAAAAAAAAAAAATCACTAAAAGTTTTGTAAAAAGGTTTGAAAGTATTAGAAAAAAAATTCAAAAATGTTGTTCAAAAATGTCGATTAGGATTTTGAAAAATTCGTTAATTTTTAATAATTTCAAATTCTTGAAATTTTTGTTTCTTGATACCGAAATTTGATAAAAAAGCATTTTTAAATGTGTAATATTCTATATTAAAAATCTAATAAAATAATAAAAATCTAGTTTTGTAAATCTAGGAAAAATATTGATAATTTTAAAATTTAAAATCAAATTTTATTAAACACTCTGCCTTTTTTTCACAAATAACTTAATATCTTTCGGATAAAAAAAAAATAAAATTGTTGTCGATTATAAGATTTTTAAACAAACGTTTGTTGTTTTTTAAAAAATGTTAAAAATTTCAATCATTCGAAATTCTTGAATTTTTAGTATCTTTGTAAAGTTATTTTTTTATTTTGAAATTTTGTAAAGTTATTTTTGAAATTATCATATTAAAAAGTTTATAATGTATTTAAGTCTAGGAGACCGTTAAAAATTTTAAATTTTCAAATCAAAATTCACCAAATACTCTGTTTTTTTTCGAAGTATTTTTCTATAATTATCTTAATGTATTTTGGATGAATAAAATTTAATAAATTAAAATCAAGTAAATTACTCAAAATAAAAATATAAAAACTAATTTTAAATAATTAAGAAAGAGCTAATTTTAATCTACGATTTTAATTTAAACTTAATTATTTTTGCTTATACAAAAAAAATCATTGCCGTTAAAATAATATAAATTGAACTATTTATTTATTATAAATCTTTTAGTGCATTTACACTGATAAAAATCAATCTTAAACTTGAATTTTAGAATTGGTTAAATATTTTAGAAATAATTATATAATAGTACCAAAAATCTCTTAGTTAAATTATAAATAGCTTAGCTTTTAGATTTATTTCTAGAAAAAACAGAAGACTTAAAATTTTTATTGCTTCTAAAGGTAAGATCAGTAGAATTTAGTGGTTTGAAAATTGCAGATTTTCAGATTTTTTTTTCGAGTGCGTGTTTGAACTGTCACCAGTTTGAATTAAAAGAAAGATCTAGAGGACATTTTGCTCAACCATAAAAAAATATTGAACCACCTATTAATAATATAAAAATCAATAACATGATGAAATATTTCTGCTAAAATCGTTTTTTTAGTATTAATAATTACATTTTGAGCAAAATGTTCGATAGCTTTTTCTCCACACATTTTTTTCTCGCGATTTAAAAAAAACGAATTTTGAACACATTATACGCGATGGGTTAGTAAATATCATTTTTCATCAGTTTTTCTTTTTAGAAAATTAGTTTTTTCACGTTTTTTCACTACAGGAGTAATTCAAAAGATCTAAATAATATTAATTTTAAACTGATGATTTAATCAATTTATAATGTAAATTACTGAAAATTTGGTTTAAAAATTCGTTATAAAATGTTTTGAAATTTAAATAATTTAATTCTAAGATCTTTTGTATTCCTCGAGTTCGATAATTCTACAAGGAAAATTCTTTGTACCGGTGATGTAATAATGTGAATATTTTCCATTCGAATAATAATTTTAATTTTAATAAAATTTATCATAAGATTTTCAGCAGACCATGGAATTAACACAAACAAGATCAATCAAACTAATATCATTCGCAGAAATAAACTAAAATTATGAATCCCATCCTTTAAGATCCAAAATAATCCAAAAATCCCATTGATCCTTTATATGATGAATATTTGCATTTAGTAATTTGACCAGAAAAAAATTGTAAATATTCTATAAATGTACAGCATGTTTGTTATTGTAAACAAAAAAATGAGAAATGTGTTTAAATGTTTATAAAAATTTCAATGGTTTATGATTATATTAATATTGTGATTCGATGTCTCATGTACTCTTTCAAAATTCTAAAAACTCTATTTTTTGACTGTTTAACGGGTTGATGATAATTTTGTGTTAGTAAATTAAATTTTATTTATTTTGTATTTTTTATACAAATATTGTATATACAACCAAACATACATTCACATACGCACAAATGTACACAAGTTCATTTTAATTAAAATTTTAGTCTTTTAAACTAAATTTATTTTAATTTTTTATTATTTCAATCAATATTTAAAAAAATATTATTTTTCTGATTAAAAAAAAACTAACGCAAAATTACGATCCGTTAATTTCTATGCTTTAATCTACTACTTAATTTTTGTTTGCTTTCTTAACTCTTCCTAATGCATTTTTGTATGTATATATTTATATTTGTTAAACCCTTTATACTTTTTATAATTTATGTATAAGATCAAATAAATAAATTAAAAAATTAATTAAAAAAATATTAAATTGTTCCAACAGATGGATCGAAAGATCCATAGCCATGTAAAATATATAAAAAAAAAATGCTTTGAACATAACGAAACCTCTGATTTCATGGAATAAATTTCAAATAAATATTTTAAAAAATATTGAATCATTTATTTATTTGATTTTTTACACTTTCCTTCCCCTGTCCCATTATTAAAAAAAGCCCTTTTCCAATCAAAATTTCAAATATGTGTCTGGCTGTTGTTCGTTGTGCTGATGAAATTATTATATATTGATTATAATTAAAAAAACAGCAAATGCTGTCTGATTTCTTAAATGTTTTTCAAAAAAAATATCGAAATGTGACCGATGCTACTATAAAGGGCACATTGTGAGATACTGTTCAAAATAAATATAGAAGAAATTTTGAAGACATCCCAAATGGTAAAAAATCATTTTATTGAAAAAAAATTTTGCAATTTTCAGTTAAAAACTAATGACAGTATCAAGATCATGTTTTATCACAATGGGCCCAAAAAAAAACTTGAAAAATGAAACAAAGAATTTTCTATGTGTATTGCCTACATGTGCCTGATCCATCACTGCATCAAAATTAATATTTCACTATGCATTTTTGTTTAAATGTAATTATTTGTTTATGTGTATAATCAAAATAAAAAAAATTATTTACGAGTTTACCAAGTAGGCTCATTCATAGAAATGGATAGTAAATATAAAAAATTATTGAAGTTTTTGTGCTCAGACTTCAATTTTTCTCATAAATAGTGTATAATTATAATAATGCAGTTACTTACTTGTAATGAATTTAAATCATTTTAATAGATTTTTTACAAAATGTAAATTTAAAGACACTTATTCCAAAAAAAAAAGTTTTTGAGACATGTGCTTCTTTCAGGTGAATTGGCCTACTGCTTCAAGAATAAAATTTTATGAAAACTACAAGTATCATTTTTTAGTTCCAAAAATTTTAAAATCAAGTTTGTTTTTCGTTCATAGTTGCTTTTAATGGTTTTATCCACATGATATATAGATAGATGATAGAAATTTCACATTACTACCAGTATTAGTTTTAACACTCTCATAGGAAATTAGTCGAGTTTAGTGTCATGTTAATATTTGCATGAAATAGATTTAAATTTATGGTACAATAAACAATAAATTTTATGTGGTATATATGCGCTAATAACAATTAAATTCAAATAGTACCATTTGATTTGATTCGATTCAAATTGATTATATTGTTATAGTAGTAGTTACTGTCGGATATTATTTTCAAAACTAGTTAGTAAAATTAATGGACATTTGAATGGATTAATTAATTTATTTGATAGTTACGTGGATTAATCAAAATTTAGTGTATTATATTATTAAAGGAAATCAATACACTACGAGTTGCTCTTTTTTGGATTTTTTTTGTTTTTAAGGGAGCATTCTGGTCTAGAAACATGAATTTTATACGATTTTTAAAAGGCTATGAATAGGGCAAACAATAATTTTACTGTATTTTTTTTAGTCGTATGTTTGGAATAAAAAACAACAAAATAAAAAATTTAAAAAAAGTCATGAAGTTGTAATTCTAGAAAGAGATGAGTGAGGGGTTTCAAAAAATTGGCACCAGATCATAAAAATGATATTAGCCCTTCAAATAATGTGATGAAAAAATTATATGTATATTATTAATCTAGAGTAATGTATGAACTACGGACAAGTTGAAATAATTATTTTTCACAGAATAGCGACTGTCTAAAAAAAATTTACAACTTTCTTAGATGTTTCAAGAATTTTTTTAAAAATAGTAAAAATCAGAAATTGGGGATGAAGGTACTTTATACTGATAGCAAGCTTATAAAGAAGACTCAGTAACAATTTCAAGTAAATCGGTGCAGTAGAAGTTGAGAAATCGTGGATATGGTATCGAAAAAGACAGTTTCGATACCACGTTCAAAGTTTCTTGATACTTTCGAATTTTTAAAAAATAGTGAAAATTGGAATCTGGTTAAAAACGTAGTCATACTGATGACAAGTTTATAAGGAAGAATTTAAAAAAAATTGATCTGATAATTGTTCTCAAACAGCTATATTTCTAAAAATATTTCTAAATTTAAGAAATTTTTAATACACATATTCTTCAACAGTTAAACTTTCAAAATATGAAACAAAACAAAATCGTCTTTTTTTCGTCTAGACCAGAATCCCCCTTAAATACAACTAATTTTTTTGTCTACGTTTCACAAAACTCTATCGTAAAATTTCTTACTTTGTCCAAAAGTTTTGAAAATCGATCGATATTTTTGCGTTTTGTGTATCAATTTTCCCCAAACTAACCGATCAAATTTCCTTTTCCCCAATAGGCCCGTAGGCGTGTGGGGCAAAATAGTGGGTTCCCTTTGTGCCATTGCCGGTGTGCTAACTATAGCCCTGCCAGTTCCTGTAATTGTGAGCAATTTCAATTACTTCTACCATCGGGAAACCGATCAGGAGGAGATGCAGAGCCAGAACTTCAACCACGTCACCAGCTGCCCGTATCTGCCAGGCACTTTAGGTGAGTGGAAAGAAAAAATTTGAAATAAAATTTATGGAGATAGCAAGAGTTTAGTAGGATTTATAACATATTAACCCTTTCCACTCGCGAATTTCGTGATTTATATTAATTTTGCCACAAGAACGGCGGCATCCGAGTCGAAAGGGTTGATTGTGTTGACAATATTACGCACATAATTGTCTAAATTGGTTTATTTCTTTATCTCCTACATATTTTCCATTCGAAGTCGGTGTAAATAAAAGAAAAAACTGCAGGTGAAAGTTGATATAAAATTTGCTAGAGAATTCATAGAGCCTTAATTTTTAGTACGTGCAAAAGTTTGCGAGCTTGTCCAAAACAATTTTGCGGCGACTATAGAATAATTTGTTTTATTGTTTTTAAATCTCTCTTAAAAAATACAGTTTCAGGGCCGATTCTGCCGCATAACAGACAAATGTTATGGTTATGGTTATTCAAGGCCATGTTACGTTTCCACTTTCATACATTATGCTCCTAAATCATACTGAATACTGTCAAATTGCCATGTATTTGTTGTGTATTCAGGCGTTTTACACATAAAATGCAACGTCACTCGTATGTTATGAACCTGAGTCAGAAAGACCTTGTTATCTAACATAGTTTTTTTTACATTTGTGCGGTTTCCAGGTTAAGTTTTGTATCTGACAACCTGAGAAAATTGCCTTACCGCACACCAACCACATGGCTTTTGTCAATATTTAGAACAAATTTGTATGGCAAGTTCTTCATAGCATAGCCTTGCCATATCATTGGTCTGTTATTGCAGAATCGATCCCTTAATCGTCTATTTTTTGCTGTAATTACGATAAGTGATTTAGCCAATAATGATAGTTCAAACCTGCCGAATATTTTTCTCAAAACTTTAAAATCATATAATTATTACGATTTTTTCTTAATTAGGAAATAGCCCATTTTATAAATTCAAGCAAATCAACACAAATTACCATTTTAGCAAATATTAAAATTTGAAAACTTTGTGAAATGTTTGCAAGTTACTGTACAAAATTGACACTACTCAATTTTTTTTAAATGTGACTGTTTGTGAGCATTTTTACCCAAATAGATCCTTGACCCTCAAAATTGTCGAGTGTAATAATAAATAATTTAGTTAAATTTTTAACTATAGTCAAATAATTAACAAAAGTCAAAATATGGACAAGTTTTGGAAATTATCTATTGCTTTGAAGTATAATGTACCGATTTTGCCGTACAACAGACCAATGTTATGGGTAAGACTATGTTTGTAGAACTTTCCATACTAATTCGTTTTAAATATTGTAAAATCCATGTGGTTGCTGTGCAGTCAGGCGTTTTACTAAGGTTGCCCGATAGAAAACTTAACCTAGAAACCGCACAAATGTCAAAAAACCGATCTTAGATAACAGGGTCTTTCTGATCCAGCTTCATAACATACGAGTGACGTTGCAGTTATGTGTAAAACGCCTGAATGCACAGCAAGTACGTGACATTTTGATAATATTCAGTATGATTCAGTAGCAAAATGTATGGAAGTTGGAACGTAACATGGCCTCGCCATAACATTGGACTATTATGCCTATTTTACATCCTAAATTCAAAATTCAAATTCAAAATAAAAGAAACTAACGCACATGTTGAAATATTTAGTTGTGATCTTAGATAGCAAATTACATTTAATTCAAAATTGCAAGTTCTTTATTTTTCACTCGGATGCACAATTGAACTTTTTGACTTGTGTCACTTTTTTGCCCGAGTGCAGTAAGTTATGCCAAACAATTGAGAATATCTCAAAGGTGAAGATATCGTGATATCACCAACTATATACAATATTTTTGGCAAAAATAGTTATTATATGGTTATTATATTGAGATAGTTAGCTTTAAAATAGATATAATCCGCAATAAAAAAAAACTAAGTCCAGTCATTTAAGCTTAAATTAAGGTAAAAATCTCGGAATTCGAGATATCCAGCTGTAAGTCTGTAAATAGTTGTATATTGACACCCGAAAGTTGTCTCAAAACCTACATACGGTAGGGTGTACGCAACATATGTAGGTTTTTAGAACTTCTTTAGTGTCTATATAAAAGTATTTACAGACTTACAGTTGGGTATCTCGAATTCCGAGTTAAACTTACTATAATGACTGGACTATAAAAAAAAATCGGCATCTTCTAATTCAATTCCCCTTAATTCCAGGTCAACACATGAAGAAATCATCTATATCTTCATCTTCCTCCGACATGATGGACCTCCGCGAATCGGAAGCCCCGCTCGCCGGGGCCCTTTTGGGTCCGCTGGGGCTCGCCGGAGCGCCCTTACTGCCCGTGTCGACTGGAGGGGCCGTGGGGGAAGTTATCCCTTCGTTATTGGACAATAATGCAGGGAGGGTGAATTGTGTCACGTCCAGGCACAATAGCGCGTTGGCCGTTAGCATAGAAACGGACGTCTGACTACTGGGTAAGGAAAAATTAATTTAACTAGTTGTAAGTAGTATTTTGCCTTATGGCAAGTTGCATTAACTTCCCGAAATAATATATTAATTAGTGAATGATTTCTAAGTACATAAAGTTAGCGTATGACATTCTAATATGAGAAACTCTTGCAGATTATTCAATTGTGTATTTTTTTTATTACAAATTATTGAAAAACAAACACATGCCAAATACATACCAGGAATATTTTCTAAAAGCGCGTCCGAATATTGAAAATTTTAATTAATTTTCATAATTAAACTATGTTTCGTGGGACTATTATATTTACTATATCCATTGAGACCAGGAGATCTCTCCCCATACTAAGCTTTATTAAAATCATCGAAAAAAAAATTAAGAATAAAATACGAAGAAACGGTCTGGCCGTTGATGTTTGCCACAAACTAAATCAGCACGATTCTCAAATTATGCCTTTCGAATAGTTTTTGAATTTTCGAAATAGACACCGAATTTTTTTGCTAAACCGTAGACTAAATTCTGTGCTTTTCAGCTAATTCTGAAGAAACAGCAAAGCCAGTGGTTTTCAATCATTTTTGAAGCGATTAACCCCTCCCCCGTTCTAATAAAAAAATTATTGCGCAGTACTCAATTTTTTGAACTATTTTTATTCGTAGATATTTAACTGGTATAATCACACTACAAATAGATATGCAACATTAGGTAAAAATACTATTTTTTATATCGTTTAAAATTGTTGGGTTATTTTTGCAAATAGGATTTTGGAAACAGCTGTACGCCCCCTTGTAACAACCTTGTTTGCTCCATATGTTTCAAACCGGAAGGCTTAACTAGTGGGGCGCATGGCATCGTGCCTTAAAGGCAAATTGCTGGAACTTCCCGTACAGTGATCAAACATTCGAGAAATGAAAATAATCAATAATTGTTTTGAATAGTTTCAAATAGATTTTTTTGATAATTTAGAAATTTTCTCAAAATTTTGAAATTTTTTTAGAAGTTTGAAATTTTCTGGAATTTTCTCAAATTTGAGAATTTGAAAATTTTTGAAAATATTCGATTTCTTTGAAAATTTCAAAAATATTCTCAATTTTTCGTAAGAAATCTATTTTCTTTTCAAATTTCTCAAAATTAAGTTTTTTTTAGAATGGTGAAAAACTTCGAAAATTTGATTTTTTTTTGAAAATTGTTAATTTTTTTTTGAAAATTTTCAAAATTATCAAATTTTTTGCAAATGCATTTTTTGCACACCGTCTACTCATTTGTTTGAACATTTACTTGAACCATATAAATGAACTACAAAATTAAAAATCTTTGTACGGAACCCAAAAACAAATACACAAATGTGTACGCATTGTTAAAACATCTATAAAATGTCTGATAATTTGATGTACATATGTCCAATAAACATTTTTGACCGCCAAATGAAAAAGTAAATAAAAAGTATCAAAGTAAAAAGTATATTGAGTGAATTTAATCAGTACTTCATCTTGTCAATACAAGTGAAATGTTTTTTGAATCATTTGAATCGGACGCTCCGTTTTCTCAAAAATAGAATTATCATTTTTAGCACTTTTCGTCCCGTATTTTCGGAAAGGCTGGACCTGCCTTTGCCAAAAAAACTAATCAGCACGTTTTCTTTTTAATAGAAATCGAATGTTTTTTGAATCATTCAAATCAGTTGAGCAATCATTTTTTCTAAGGTATGCCAAAATGTTCAAAAACCACTGAAACGTAAAGATATATAAAAATTTCAATTTTCGATATTTTGGGATTACTACAACTTACCCTACGGAAAGTTAAAAATAGGCCAGTAACAACATGGCGTTGCCATAACATTTCAATTTTATTGGATAATTGGCCCATGGGTTTCATTCGATTCAATAATTAGCAAATCGGATTTTCTCTTTCGGGAAGTTAATGACAACTTTTTGCCACTTAGTTTTCCAGCATCTAATAATGTCGTTGTTTTTTTCTATTCCAGTTAAACAGACGTGGCCGGCGGAGCCGCTGCGACTCACACAAGCGCTAACGGCCGCGATTCGATTCTCGGCCAGCGGCCTATAGTAGAACACGAATCGATATATCGATACAACGGCAGATATCGATATCTGATCGATACCAGAGACGACAGGACTACTACTACGGGAGGACACGAACTCACGATATCGATATCGTTAAAACGATTATGAGTGCGGAAATCGTTAAATCCGTTAAAAATCAGTGTTAATAATAAGTGTGACATCATAATAAACGATTTAAAATTGTGCAAAAAAAATTTAAAGTTTAATCAAAACGTGACTACAGAAATCGTCGTACACGCAAGGATTATAAATTTATATATGTATATAAGTTATATATAAATATATAAATATATAAAGAATATAATAATGAACGCAGTGCTTCTTCAAAATAGACTTTTTTTTAAAAAAGCGATCTATAACGGAAAATAAATTTAAAGTAATGTGTGTGGATCGTTTTAGGATATAATTACGCAAATGATTTTATTTGTTGCAAAACATTGCAAAATATGTTTTAGCCATGCGAAGTCGATTATTTTTTACAAATAATTAATAATACAAATATATAATATATATATGATAAATATAACGCAATATTAAAACGTTTTCTATATATTTAAAACAACAAGATATATATATGCCGACTTTTTTTAAATTGATAATTTGCTAAACAGAATTATTTATATAAATATACATAAAGTAAATAATTAAAAAGTGTAAAAGATCCATGTATATATATATATATATATATATAATATATATATAAATTTGTGTGCAATTACTGCAGATCACATTAAAATAAATATTCAAACGATGCTTACTATTAAAACAGGGATAAAAATATATAATATTCTTTCTGTTATTTTGACTTTAATTTAAATAATAAATGTTACATCGTTGCTTGTAACATTCATAACCTTCAGTTTTTTTTTAAAATTGTACAGAAATTTCAGTATTTATTATTATTAACCCTTTCGACTCGAATGCCGCCACAGTGGCGGCTAATTTCATATAAATCTCGGAATTCGCGAGTGGAAAGTGTTAATATAAATATGTGCTCTTTGGTTTTAGTCACCGGTATTGAAAAATTCACTACCTATAAAATTTACACAAATATTTTTTTAGTTAAAAAAATTTAAAAAGATTACGTGCGTCAATGGGTTTGAACCTTTCGAACTAAAATTTTAGTAAATTGTCCAAAACTGGTAAAAATATGCGCAGTCTGATCCAAACAGGTGCAAATCGTTTTTTGATCAGGTTTTGCCAATACCGTTTTTTATTCCTAAATTTTTTGTGAATCGATAGTGTAAAATTGATCCAGTAATTTTGTTTTAACTTCTGCACCTATTTCATATGAAACATCAACAAATTTTTGGCAGTACTTAGAATGTCTAAATCGTATGCCAATCCAGAGATTGGACGTCCGGGTATGATGATCCATTAATTTATAATAATAATATTAACAATAATATCAATAATAATAATAACCGAGTACTTACTTAGCCCGAAGTGGAATTGTTGATATTTCACATCGCAGTACCCAAATAATTTAAAGCATATTTTGTTCTCAATTGGTATCACTGCTGCATGATGCCACAATGGCCAAAAGTCGACCGAATCGGGTAACTTATACTTAATAAGTAATAGTTCGTCATATTCAGGGCGACTTTTTATAATATTTGATACGAAATAAATATTTATTTAATATAAATATGTTTCAAGCAATAGATGTACATACAATTTTTTATAACATATAACATTTCATTCATGATGTTTATTTTTAACGTTGATCTGTTGAAATTTATATTATATATATATATATATATATATATATATATATATATACATGATACGTAGGGTATATTTATAAAAACCATTTTAGCTGCGTTTTCGTCCAAAGCATATCATAAAGAAAAAATTCATTTTTTTCTTAAAGTCCGTATTAAGCGATAATAGCGAAATAAAAAAGCGCGAATGAGAATGTGAGTGAGTGATTCCTAGTGAAATGATTCCATTTTACATTTTATTTTTTTATTTATTCAAAGTCTTAATTGTTATAAAGTTGTTTATATTTTATTTTATAGTAATTATTGTGAAGGTTACCTATAAATTGTTCTGAATAATTATTTATTCCAAAAACGGGTCGGCTGTAAAAAAACATTAAAATTTCTAAAAATTAAATTTAAAAAATTTCATTTAAATTAAAAAAATCATTCTATAACAATTCTCGGGCTTATAGCTTTCAACCCTTTCGACTCAGATGCATCCGCTCCGGCGGCAAAATTTATATAAATCTCGGAATTTGCGAGTGGCAAGTGTAAAATAAAACTTGGTTAGTTTGCAATTAAAAATTGTAAATTTCATTTAATTTCCATCGATAATTTACCCAAATAATGAAAACGATTATAATAAAAATACAAGCGAAAGTCTTCTAGTAAGATTGCCAAAATTTCTAAAGTTGCTCATTATTCAAATTGTTCTTCATATTCGTACTCATTCGTACTTTATGGGAAAGATAGTTTTATCAAGTTCTATTTTGAAACTTTATTGGAGCTTTAAGGATAATTGTAGATTTTATTTATTTTAAGGAAAACTTTAACCAAACAACGAAAAAATAATTATAATAAAATACAAGCAGAAAAGTCTCCTACAAGAATTTTCAAAATTTTTAATTTTTTTTGGTTTCTTATAAACGTATTTTGTGGGAAAAAATAGTTTGATCGACTTCTATTCTAAAAATTTTGTGGATATTCAAGAAATTATACACAATCTTTTATTTTACACACTTTATATACAATTTTATCTAGTTTAAACTCGGTGCATTTGAAA